GGGCAGACATTTTTGAGATTCGAATAATGAGTTTAATTGTTTTTTTGTTTGTTATTGAATGAAGCAACGGCAATTTTAGCTTCATTTATAGGGTTTACAAGTAGTCTCGTATTTAATTTACAAGAAGGGAAATGCACAAAGATATTGTAAAATTTAAAATGGTTACCGTGTTCTAAACATGGTCTAGTAGAATCATTAATGGAAATCAAGGTTTTTTAAAGGGATTTTCTTGAAAAAGTGGTAGGCAATTAAATATGTGTACCGTGAAACTCTAATTTAACGATAGTAAGATTATTAATAAAGATTTCCATATATTTTATAAAATTACAATTTACAATCAACTTTGAATGGTTCTATGAGAACTCAAAATTGAAAATAGCATTGTAAACCATGTCAAAGAAACAAGCTTCAATACTGTAAATTTCCAAAAAGGTAACCATCTGGTTGCAAGCAATAGATTTAACACTCCTATCTGGGAAAATCTAATATTTAATCCAAGAAATTAAATATATTGAATTAACAATGATTTAGATTTTCAGACATGTTTAGAAATTGATTAGAATACCCAAAGTCAATGAAATTGTTTCTGAAATTCTTTAACGGTGTTGGAAATGATTTCTAATGCAATGCTGAACTTTCAAACGAAATGAGATAGGATAATGACCTCAAGATGGCATTGCTGTGGAAAAAGGGCGTAATATTAATGTGTTGAAATTCATCTATTACGCGTGTAGTAGAATAAAGCTCATTGTTTTCGTATTTATTGGTGTGTAGTTGGATAAACTGTCAGTAACAAGTATCAGAACTGATATTGGAATGAAGAACTTGGAAAACCCAAAGACTGATCCACTCCACTTCTAAGAACCTTCTTCTATTACAGTGGCCATACACTAGTGAGAGAGATATGAATGAACAGTAATGGCCAAATTGGCGCACATTTAAAACAAATTAAGAAGTAATAAGAAAAATGGCGTTATCAAAGAATCATCATTTAATTTCGAGTCAATGGCTAAGGAGTTTGATTGTTGTATTGATGATGATGATGTTGCTTTCAAGAGTTTCATCATCATCATTATAAAATATTAGATACTTATAATAATTATAATACAACTAGAAGAATAAAAGGTTCGGAACGTAAGGCAACTATTGTATACAGTCAGAGTATGAATACTCAGTTTGTATCTTCCACTGATTATCCATCGGGAAATGTGGCCACATTCAGTTCCAATCTCAAGCTATATTGGAAATTATTAAGGAATGAAAAAAGCTCTGATATTAATGATGCAATCTTGGAATTTGGAGCTGTGGCCAAAAACACGAGAGGTTACGTCTCGTTTTGCTTTGGTTATTTAAATGGAGATCCAATGAAGGGTGATACCAGTAAGTTGTTATTGGCAATATTAACTTAATATTATTAATGATGATGAATTGATAAAGTTTTCGGGTATTATAATAGTGCTTCTCAAAGTGTAACCATCATGGATGCATGGATGGTTGCAAAGCCACAATCACCAGTGAGTGATGCTTCCGATGATATCCTTCAAAGAAATGGTGGATACAACTCGGCCACAGGTGAGACACATATCAAGTGGACACGTTTCGTTAAAACAGGAGATTCCCACGATGTCATTTTCACCAATGCAGTCATGAAAACTTCCTGGGCACTCCACTCCACCAGTACTGGAATGGTTAGACATACCAGCACTGGCAAAGGTCCAAGTTTGAATTTCCTTTCAGCTGGTTATGCTACTGGTGAGTATGGAGTATTGCCAAGTCAACCAGAAGTTTCGGATGGACGTTCTAGTAGTAGTAATTCGACCTGTTCACTTCCAACTGGATATTCACAAAGTATTTTAACTCACTGGGTCAATTCTGCTGATTATCCTGCAGCTAATTACAAGTTAGTTGGAACATCTGATTCATTGAAATTATATTGGAAAGTTTTGACCAATCCAAATGATGCAAATAATCCAATTATTGAATTTGGATTGTTGGCTACTGGTATTTATGGTTATGCTTCTCTTGGTTTCAACCATGGAGCTAGTTCAGGAATGCAAACTGCTGATACCATGTTTGGATATGTTGATTCAACTGGAAAAGTGGTAATAGTTGATGCTTACATGCAAGGTAATCTTCAAGCTCCAACCTTAGATTCATCTCAAGATTTCATTTCCAAAAATGGAGGATTAAGATCTGTGAGTGGAAATTATGAGCTTCATTTGAAATGGACACGTTTGGTCAATACTATGGATTCTGCTGATCAAGCATTCACCAATGTTCAAATTCCAATATCATGGGCTCTTTCCAAAACTTCCACATCAATTACAGCTGTTCACAGTTACAGAGACAAGAATGTCATGATTAATTTCATGCAGACTGTAACTTTGTCAGATTTGGGTGTTCCTCCAGGAAGTGCTCTGACTGCAGCTTGTTCTAATAGCACAAATTCAACAAGTACTATACCACCTACCGATAATGGCAATGTTGTTACTCCTACTAATCCTCCTATTGTTTCCAATAGCACATCTTCAAATGGCAATTCTTGTTCGTTGCCAAGTGGATATTCTCAAAGTATTACCACTAAATGGGTTAATTCTGCAGATTATCCATTGAATAATTACAAGTTAGTTGCTAATTATGGAACTTCTGATTCATTGAAATTGTATTGGAAAGTTTTAACAAATCCAAATGATGCAAATGTACCAATTATTGAATTTGGATTGATTGCCACAGGAATTTATGGTTATGCATCAATTGGATTTAATCATGGAACCAACTCTGGAATGGACACTGCTGATACAATGTTTGGTTATGTAGATTCAACTGGTAAGGCAGTTATATTAGACACATACATGCAAGGTAATCTTCAAGCACCAACATTAGATTCATCTCAAGATTTCATTTCCAAAAATGGTGGATTAAGATCTGTGAGTGGAAATTATGAGCTTCATTTGAAATGGACACGTTTGGTCAATACTATGGATTCT